ACACGTCAAGCCCAAAAGGCTACAACATGTATAAATGACGCCAATCAAACGCCACCAAAGCCACCAAAACAGAACATCATGGTGGCAAATAAGACATGACAGGCCCAAAAAGCTCATGTATGAATGAGCATATTCGAAATGTTTTCAAGTAATCGGGCCCAGGGACGCTACCTGTCATGACAGCTCTACTCTCCAGAATGCGCTTTTGAAACGACTACATTGCCAAACGCGCCCAATCACCTGCTCTCCCAAAGCGCCATACTCCCAAATCCCCTCATACATGCATACAATATCCTCACCAACAATACTTCCAAATCCCATCATACATGCATACAATATCCTCACCAACAATACTCCCCATTGCCTATCCATCAAGCACCCCACTCTCCTTCAAGCTCCTAAACAGATCGGGCTCCAAGAACTTGCTAATCGTGACATCCTCTGCAAGCCCCTTTCTCCGCCTCGTCTTGAGGACAAAGTCGCGTGCGAGCTGCTGTGCAGTTGCCGGCTCGAGTGGGCGCGTGGTGATTTCCTTGTCGAGCGGGTCGCCCGGCACGATGCTCCAGCGGTCGAAGACGAGGGAGAGGGAGACTTGGCCTTGTGTGTGGATCTGGAGAAATCTAGTTAGTATGTGTTGCATGGCACAAGGAAAACGGAGATGAACATACCCTGAGATCGGTCTCGAAACCAAAAGAATCAATGACCGGGATCAGCCCTCGCACGTTGTAAAGTGGGGTACCAGCAATGGGACCATCTTGTAGCACATGTCCTCGTCTCCGCGAGAGTACAGTGTATAAGCTGCTCTTTGTGTCGGCATGGCCGACCATGCTGCAAGAGTACATTGGTTCCATCAGCCTGGGGCTAGCCATTAGAAAACTGGAATAGCAAGCTCGTCGGCTTGTGGGGATGATTTGACCGCCTCCACGGAAGATGGCTTCAGGCGCAAGCTCGACGTCTGTGATACGAAACTTGGTGTTGCGGATGGGTTCTTCGCAGAGCGGTCCTTCTCGAGTGGCCCAGCTGAAGCCTTGTCTCAATGTATCTCGGACTGAACGTAAAATTTTCGAGTCGACCTCTGATGGTAATGTGTCGTTTTGCAGGATATTAGGACCCATGTCGTCAGGTCCAAAGGCCCAAATATTGCGTGATGCTAACAGATCGTAGCCGTAGTTTTCCTCGAAAAACTTTCCGACCACCCGTACAGGGTCCTTGATGTTGACCTTTCCAGCTTCGATATCTTCAGCAATACCAGGGTCCAATGGCTCAGCGATCATGGTTAGCTTGTTCTTCTTGTTGGGCGTGAGTGCGTAACACTTGATGGCAGACATCTCCACGACAGTCTCGCAGAAACGTGTGACGGGATCGGAAACCTTGATTTCCATATCCGCGTACAATCGCCGAAGATCATGCAATACACAGTCCATATACAGTTCACCGGTACCGAGGATGACATGCTCGCCTGATTCCTCAACTTTGGTTGTAATGAGAGGGTATGACTTGTTGATCTTTCGTAGACCGTCAAGCATCTTGGGTAGTTCGGAGGGATTGATTGGTTCGACTGCGACTTTGAACACGGACTCGAAAAAGTGTCGGATGGGTCGGAAGATGTAGGCATCTTCGTCGTCGGGAAGTTTAGAGGCAACAATCGTCGCGGTCTTGACTATCGAGTTGTCGACACCACCTAGCAAGACCCAATTCCCGGCTGGTACGCCACTGACTGGGATGTTGTATCTGGACTGCGCTATCCATGTGTCCGTCACAGTCGCGACTACCATGTCTTCCTCATCCTCTAACGTGTAGCCCTCACCGAGCACCCGCACAGATTGTGGAGAAGTTGCAGTGCCACTCATCACACGACCCAGAGCAGTAAAGGATTTTGCGTCTGTTGCATTGAACAATTTGGTAACATGCACCACCAACGGTCCATCCTGGTCGCAGTTCTCCATTGCTTGCGCAGTCTTGGAATCCAATGGGCCAGTGTAGTGCCGTTGGAGCAATCTTTTCGCTCCCTCAGCAGGCGATGGAATGTGTTGAGTCACCATGTCCACGAAACCGAGTGAAGGACCGAAGTATTGCTGGCAAACTAGGCGCATCAACTCCTTTGCGTCTGTCTTGTACTCCGAAGGCTTCAACCGTATACCCAAAGATTCCAACGTGTCCTTGAGATCTTCTGCGCTCTCACTCAGAGTGTGGGAGTATAGCTTGTAGACCGGTTCCAGGATCCAGTGTACAAAGGATCGTTGTGAATCCTCCTCTTGCCTCTTGCGACTGAACTTGCGGCTTCCAGGATTGTAGAAGATGTCGCCCCACAGTCGCATTGCAAATTTCTCAATATCAAGACCCTTCATAGGTACGCCGAAACCGGGAAGTCGGGAAGGCCCAGGGTAGAAATCGGAATACATTTTCGCAAAGGACTGAATGGTGAAGCTCCAGCGCATATTCGAACAGGCGAATGTGACATTGCCTTTCTCAGGGCTTACACGTCTGCTCTCGCCGCGGCCTGGGATGGTGTTCTCGATGATGGTGTTGACCTCTTCAATAACATGCTTGATTTTGAAGTATGCATCGCTTGGTGGCAGCTTTAGCTCCAAGATCAGGCGGTCCATCTTGTTGACCACCAATGTGAGGGGCAAATCTTCCAATACTGCATGTTTGATGATCTGCTCCGTGTTCACCTGGACGCCTTCCACCACATCTACCACGAGAACCACTCCGTCCACCAGGCGCAGAGATGCGGCGACTTCGTCGGCAAAATTCACGTGTCCGGGTGTGTCGAGAATGTTGAAAAGATGCGACTTTAGTTTCGTATTCTGTAGGACGAGCGACATGGGCGCCGCCTTGATCGACACGCCTCGTTCCCGTTCGAGCACATGCACGTCGGTGTACCGTAATTGTTCCTCCCGCTTGCGACCCTTCTTGTAGTCGAGACGATCTTGAATGTCATGCGACTCCATGACCAGCGCGTCCATGAAGGCTGTCTTTCCGTGGTGCAAGTGCCCGGCCAGTGCGATGTTTCGTATTTGGTCGGGAAAGTTCATCAGATCCGTCAGAAGCTCCCGCGAATGGAACACGGGTGGCAGGTCTGTTTCCTGGATGGTAAACTTCTTCTGGACCACCGGCGCAATAATTGGCTGGGACAACGACTGGGTATCTTCCTCTTGTACGAGCACTTCGACATCGGGACCGTATACATCGGCGGCGGAGGGGTAATATTGCTTGTCTTCGTGGAGGACTACAGCATTGGATGGGCCTTCATCTACCTCCATAAGCTGTTGGTCGTTGGCCTCGTCCTCGGCCTCATCCTCGTCGAGGACATAGGCGTCTGCGGCCTCGCCAGTGCTCTGGACATCGCCGTCGGACTCGGCCTCGCCAATGAAATTTCCAAACCTGTGCAATGTCAGTCGCGTGCAGTCACGTGTTGTATGTAGAACTAATGGTGCCTTACTCGTCATAAAGGTCGTCCATGGCTGCGATACGCGTGAAAGTGCAGCTGGCAATGATGCGACGCCAGCCCCAGGGTTGTTGCAGCTTGTCGCAAAAGTTCCCAAAACGCGGCGCCATGGTTTTGCCTAGCGTCCGCGGAGGAGGCCCCTCGGCCGTCTCTGAAGGCGGTGAGCCAATGTCAACTGCCGATAGGTGGGCAGTGGCCGGCCAATCAAAAGGCAGCTTCTCTCAGGCAAACGACACGCCAGAACCGTTATTCGCCTCCGATGCATGTCCGGATAGCGAAAGAACTTGTAATAATGAATAATGCGAACACTGCCTAACACTGCCTAACAATACTGTGTAGGTAATCTTCGAGGGCCCACGTCTGCCTTCCTTTTGTTGATTACGGTGAATGGTCCCCGCGCCGCGAGGCACCCCTGGTC